GTTTCGCATGAGAAGAGAATGAAGATGCTTCCTTTGAAATGCCGAGAGACATGTCGACGATAAAACTGCGATTCTCCGAACGCAGGGCGTTCCTGTGGACGAAACCTGATTTCGACTTGCCGGAACTACTATCGCTTCCTACAGATTCGAAAGCATTATTCACTGACAAAATGCCGAAAAAAGAACTGTAGATCATCAAAAAGCACAATAAAATGTGCCGAAGAACACCGGAAAAAGACTCGAATCGAAAGATGGCAGGGAGAGCTGGAAAAGGGGGATATATATGACTATATGACAACTTGCGTTTAATCTTTGAATCGCTGAAATTGGGAGAATCATGAACATTCGTGAAAGGGATTTTTAAGCAAAAAAAAAGCTCAAGATGTGCCATTGGATATAAGGTGACTGCCATTGCACGACTGGAGAGGAGCTAACCCGGATAAGTATCAATGCACCGTTTACCCGCAAGCGCTGGTTTCCAATTCCAGATGGTGGCTTCCACTTCCAGATAGTCAAATGGCACCGACCGAGTCCCGTGACCGAACACTTAAGGATCAACGGTGCTGCTGTCACGTCCGCTTGGGCCGATTTACTCTCGTCCCTGTCACGACCTCAGGACTGATCCAACTCGCAGGCAAGTTCACCTTTGACTTGACTTTGTAACTCTATAGGCTACGTGTACGTGGTAAACACCCAATAGACCCAATAAACCCATAGTAAACACCCAATAGGTATGAAGTCTTCTCGAATACCTGGAAAGTTCGAGGGCATGGGGCCGACGAGACCTGCATTAAGCCGGCTTTTTTTCATCTCCTACGCTGTAAGTGTTCTGGAGACACAGGGGGAGCACATTCAAATATTGGGTATTGAAGAAAAAACGTCATTATTGTCTACGGGAGAAAGGTAGCTTCATATGAGCAACCAAGTAGGCTACTAAACGGTCGATATCGGAAGGTTACACGGAAAGGGAAAGAAGACTGTTTTTGTCAGTATCCTTGTCTGAACCATACAATGCTCCATTGCATAATATACTGGTGGATCATTCTACTGTAAGTGTGCAAATGGTCTGTGCTCAATCAAGTCAAAACTCAATTAAATTTTGGATGCAGTCACACGGTGACATTGAAATATCGTTGACCTTTACAGCATATGAAGGCGAAGATTGGGGGACATTTGCCATAGTACAAAAAAATTTCCTCATGCTTGTAGCATTTCAACTTTCCTAAGTTATTGACTCGATTGGTACAGCCAGTAAATCGTAATTAATTATTGACTATACAATTTGAAAGTGGAAAAATATACGTAAAAATAAGAACACTTCAAAATCTTCTAGTGTATTAATTCATTCATGGCCTTGTCTGTTTTCCCCCCCCCCCCTCAAAAAAATAAAATAAAATAGGCACAGGTGTCAATTCCCTTACACAGTAACTAGCTGCATGAAAGCGAGGGAGGTGGTGCTCTTCTCAATTTATCCTTGCGAACGTCGTACGCCGAGTTATGGGAGGTGAAAATAATAGAATTTCGATCAGGTCCAAGGCGGGATCCCTGTCAAAATGAGCGAGAATTTTTGAAAGAAAGTTTAAAATCCCAGGTGGAAGCCCTCGCCCTACGCAGAGCGTTTCATACGAACGGACACTTGCCGATTAGTATATAACTAATCGAAGACAGTTGGCTATTTAAATTCAATGTTCGAATTTTACCCCTCAACCTACTGACGGAGGTATGGGCTTCTCGTGCTTTTATAGTGGAACGGACATCGCCGATGTGATTGCGTCATATGCGCAGGATCTCAACTCTCTCCAGCATGGCTAGTCCGAACCCGTTCAGAGGCATAAGCGGGCTTGCGGGTCGGTCGGATCTGCTCGACACGGTCCGCAAGTCCTACTCACGTAGTATCGGGTTTAGCTATGTCGGGTGGTTTCGGGTCGGGCCCGGGCCGAGATTAGATTCGAGCCCGTCGGGTAGAGTGAGGAAAAGTCGACTCGTGCAGGACAGACAGAGAGACAGACCTCGGCCAGACTACGCAGAGCGTTTCAGACGGACGGACACTTGCCGATTAATATATAAGATACCTCGCAATTAGCTCGGGATGCGTTCCTGAAAAACCGAGCGCATCGCGAATCAGCGTGTTGCGGGGGTTGTTGCGATACGCTCGGTTCGCCCTGATTCGCGATACGCTCGGTTTTTCAGGAACGCATCCCGAGCTAATTGCGAGGTATTACTGTACAGAATTGTGGGATTTACTTTTTTAATGTTAGTGATATGTTAATTTAAAATTTCCATACAAAATAAAATTTTTCATGGACATATATTCTAGAAAGAAAGGGAGTCACCATCTCGGGGTTGGGGGTTATTTTAAGCTTGTAGATCATTGGTGTACTTGCAATCGAATGATGCGCAAGTAACTTGTGTAATGGGGCACTGTACAGCTCAAACAAAAGTACTGAAATAAACTTAACCCCTCATTCCAAAAAGGCTCCCAGGTTTTATTCATTTTGCAATTTATTCTATTTGCGAAGGCCAAAGTTAGAAATCTTTATCACAAAGCAGGACAGAAGGGAATGAAGTGGTGTCAAATATTGAATTTACATATGTTTGGGAGAGTGGGCGTAAATATATTCAATCTGCAACTACTCATCGGTTATTCATAATGACTCATTGATGGAGCAGAAAAAATTCCATGAGATTCATGGTAGGTCATAACAAATCTTTGAGGTTAAAATGAATGAAACTTTGTGCATGGTAGCACTTTTACAATATATTTGGTTTAGAATGAACATCTGCATGTAACAGGGCCAATGCCCATTGGATGTTGATATCTATAAACTAGCAAGTTTTCAACAGAGTCCATGACAAGACTTCAAGGAGCTGCAAATACCATGCCCAGAATAAGGAATAAGAACCAGGAAAAGTTAATCAGGAAAGTAAATAAATATATATTTTTAATCATAAATATGCATAACTGAGATATATTACAGTTCAGGAGAACAAAGCTGCAATGGTGAGAGGCTGAGTGAGAGTCCGGCAAGCCAGGATATCATACTGCCCATTGGCTCACTCAGCAGCAGTACCAGTTTGTTAGGTTTTCTGGCTGATGCTTGGCTTTGCAAGATTCAAGTTTAGAAACTGATAAGAAGATAACCCCCCTTTGAAGAACTCATTGAAAGCAGAAAGGAAAAATGCAGCTGGATGAAGAGGACCTGAAAGCACTAGGTAGCTGGCCACACTCTAGGAACACCTATATTTTTTGGTGTACCCTCATGGGTGTTCATTTTTTCCCAACCATGTTTTGAACCCAAAACTTGCAGTGAAAACTCAAACATAAACAAACGTGGAATGAACCAGATAATGGAATAAATCAGCGGTCCCGATCAATTTCCATATTTTAATCAACATGGAAAAATACACTATCAGATACGAGGTGTGGCAATAAAGTTCCAGGATTGATTTTTTTGTGAGTCTGTCAATATTGCAAAAATTATTTCCATTCCATGGACTAATAGATTAAACTGTTGGGCAGTGTAGTGTCAGTCCTCATCTGAAATAGATTAAACTGTTGGGTAGTGTAGTGTCAGTCCTCATCTAACTAGCATCTTGAATGAGAGTTTGGCTGGCAGTGTAGCAACTCAGCGTGTAAGGCGTCTGTCATATTCCCAGAGTGAAGCAATGCTGTATCACATTTTGTCTCAAACCGGCCAATACAGCTGCAGCTGCATCAAATGTTGCAAGAAGTGTCTTGACAAATTCTCTTGTCATACTTCATGAATCTTGAATAGTTTTCAAGGTTTTCAGTCAGTAAAAAATGATTGGTTCAGCCATCCCTTGGGTGAATGGTTGGTGATGGTTGGGGTTGAGGTGGATCTGAGTGTTTTCACTACTTGCTAAAGGCCTTGAAGGTCATTCAAAATTATTAGAGCATAACAAGGAACTTTTCAAGACACTTCTGCAACATTTGATGGATTACTGCAGTTGTATTGACCGGTTTGAGACAAAATGTGATACAGCATTGCTTCACTCTGGGAGTAAGACAGACGCCTTACACACTGAGTTACTACATTGCCAGCCAAACTCTCATTCAATCAGCATTATTTTAGATTCCTCTTATGTTTATATTTTACCATGACTTACATCATGCACTGCAAGAGTTTGAGTATTTCTTCAATAAGTCTTAATCCTTCAAACAGATTATTACATAATATACGAGGTATTGACCGGTTTGAGACAAAATGTGATACAGCATTGCTTCACTCTGGGAATATGACAGACGCCTTACCACTGAGTTGCTACACTGCCAGCCAAACTCTCATTCAAGATGCTAGTCAGATGAGGACTGACACTACACTGCCCAACAGTTTAATCTATTAGTCCATGGAATGGAAATCATTTTTGCCATATTAACAGATTCGCAAAAAAATCAGCCCTGGAACTTTATTGCCACACCTCGTATATTATGTAATAATCTGTTTGAAGGATTAAGACTTATTGAAGAAATACTCAAACTCTTGCAGTGCATGATGTAAGTCATGGTAAAATATAAACATAAGAGGAATCTAAAATAATGCTGAAAATATCATAAAGGTATGCAAATACACATTGCAAAACATGAATATGTCTTTCGTCACAAAATAAACTGGGAAAAAAAATAAATATAGTTTGCTGCTCCCTTGAGTATTCCATCAAGAAGCCTCCACAGCAACTTGATAACTTAAATCTAAAATCATGTATGCAGGTATTTTTATCATTATAAAGCTGTCTTAGGTCCAGGTTCAGGCTGAAAGTCTTCATTCACATTATGCTGACTGATTGCCCTTCTTCCTCTGGTGAATTGAGTGTAATCCTCAGACTTGTTATAAATTTCAGCATTCGGCCTCCAGCACTGATTGCAGTGAAGCCAAATGACTTCATCGGCATGAGGAACTAGCTGTGACTGGCTTGAAATTTTTGAGTCTGTCATGGCATTCACATTGACAACCTTTGCATACATTGCAGCATCATTCATGGATCCATTCCTCATATTTATCACCGTATTCTACGTGAGTAACGCATCTGAATTCTCATCTTCTCAAGCCTATTTCACAGTCCCATCATCGGGGAAAACAACGAAACTATTCTGCTTTTATACCACACCTAGAGGCAACCTTATGGTTTTCCCCTTTCTGGAACTGCGAGAGGATTAGGCCTCCGCATGAATAAACCTAGATGGGCTGACAACAGGCTAATATGCTTCCCGGACAAGAGTCTCAAGTTCGAATTGGCGGGATTGGTAAACTCAACAGATTCCTGAAGGGATTATTGCTTGAATAGTGCATGAACGTTCGATTCTAACAAATTATTTTCATTGAATATCCATAAACTAGAAACATATTTTTTCCGTATTCAATAGCCGGGAGCACTCGGATTTCGCGCTCGTTCCTCTCACGATCGAAATCGTGGAGAAACTGAACGCAGTGACATCTTCCGTAAAACAATGTAACTATAGTGAGACCGCTGTATTAGCAGCCAGTCCCATCAGCTCCCTTGTTCGAGTCGGGTTGCACATATTGGAAGGGATCGAGTTTCGTGGTTTCTACCAATTGTTTTCCAGAGAAAGACTCCATTCCATTCAGGCCCGTCCAGAGGTTTCCAGAGGCCTGGAGCAGATTGTCCCCGATTCCATTAATGGTTGCAATAGGCCTAAAGCCAAACTTTTAAGGGTTGTTTAGCCAACATTGGCCCTAATGATGTCATCAGAGCTTCCTGGCTACAGGGAGTGAGACGAAGTCTGGTTCTTTATTTTCAGATCCTCATATTCGAAGCAATAGAAAAGAACAGCAACACTTCCGCAGAACAGTGCCAGACTCTCAACGGAGTGAGTCAAGTCATCATCTCACTCGTATCTGTGTCTCTGAATTTTCTCGTCATTTCTTGTGGCTCGTATTCCAGCTGGTGTTGCCGGAGTATGGGATACATATTTTCTTCAACCTCCTCTTTCTTTTCTCTGGGGAGTGGGTTCCACTGTTGGTCAACATGCCCCTGATTGTATATCACATCAACAGGTAAAATGCAGGGTGTCCCAGAAATATCCGGCCGACTTTGATAGGGAATAACCTGGATACTATTACTCGCAAAGAAAAAAAAATGATGCAGGTTTTTAAAGCAGGTTTAATGACTTTTCATTTCACTTTTCAAAATGACCGCCAGCAGCATTGTAGCATTTCACACAACGCTGGAAAACCGAGTCACACACGGACTGCAGCATTTCAACCGGCATAGACGCACACACATTTTCAATTTCCAGTTTCAGCTGGCAAATTGTCTTTGGCTTTCGCGAGTAAACCTTGTCTTTTACATAGCCCCATAAAAAAAATATAGCCAGGCTTGGTTCACACTGCCACATTTCCAGTACTCTTTCAAGATCGTATTTCTTTTTTCAAATGTTAAACGGTTAGCCATTTTTCACGGCTTTTTCTGAAAAAGGATAAACAGACACAAATTAAAACTTTAAAATTAAAACTTAAAAAAAGCCACACATTAAAATTAAAAATTAAAAATATATATGTGATCAAAGTCGGCCCGATATTTCTGGGACACCCCGTACATTATTAAGCAGCAGATCAAGTTTATTTACCATCGAGGTCATCCATCCTTCAGATATAAAAATAGGCCTTCTAAGAATGGCCTAGGACTGTATGACCCCACGACCATCGCGAATCTTGATGAAATTCACAAAGGACGAAAGGAAGCTGGGATCAAAATGGGCTTTTATGCGTTCTGCTTCTTCTGCTATCTGTATGGGTGAGTAATTTTCTTTTCTCCAGGTGCGGGGGAAAAAAAGGCGCCGCTATTCGAATTATTGTTAGAAAATCGGTCAATGATGCAGTAGTGTATGCTCCAAGATATATGTATCTATGCGTTATCTTCTTCGGGAAAGTTTTCACAGATTTTCCCCACTTTTCTTATAGAAGAGGGAAGTCAGCGCTTATTCATCGTTTTCGCACCGACTCGTCTCATCACGTCAGTTTTCATGAATTTGCCCAAGGAGGACAACGGTGTCGAAGCGCGTTTTCCGAAAGAAAACTGACTTTATTCGATAATTCTTTAATGGAAGCAATGTCTGACTCCATGGAGTCTCCATGGAGTCCCAGGGATTTCTAAATATTTTTCTCGCGAACTTGAAAAGTTGATCTGTCGCTAAACTACAATAGGAACAATCCTGAAAAAAAGTTAAACAAGTGAAAAATGTAGAAGCACACCTGTTGGTACATTCACAGCTGTAGTTGTAACCGATTTTCAGTACTCAACATTCCAAGAGCGGCGCGTTTTATTTATTTATTTTTACTCCGCATGAGGTTTATATATTTCTGTAAGCATCCACTTTTATATCACTTTATGTTTCTTGTTCCAGGACAATGGTATCCCTGATGGAACCATGATGTCCCCTAAGTCTTTACTATGAACACTGAGTTGTGCTTAAACTACGTGATTCACAGCATGAAATAGCATACACTTCATTGTCTTGTTTTTTTCTTCATGCATGAACAGATCAGTCAGTCTGCGGAAAAAGTAAATACAGGTGACTCGTTTTACGCGCTTTCGTTATCCGCGTTTTCGCAAATCCGCGCTTTCATTTCGGTGCATGGAAACTATCACTATCCCTATCCGCAGGCGCCGTGGAAGTTTTACGCGTTTTCGATATACGCGGCAATTCTCGGGAACGCAACCCCCGCGTATAACGAGTCACCTGTGCTCTTTTGTTAATGAATGGCACATCCAAGTAGCTTACATAGAATATTCCAAACTCTATTGAACTGACTGACGAGGCTCTAGAGAGAGCATTTATCAATAGTTTGATCTATTGCACCTGCTTGTCAGAAATACCACATCAAACACCCATTGCAAGTATTCAGAGAAGACATTTGAACAAGTTCAAACAATAAAATTTTGTGTGATGTGATATTGGATCATTGCATTTCCTTCTGAGGAAGTCAAAATTTTCATAAGAAAGGGTGAAGTGGAAGAGGAGAAAAAAGGAAATGACAGGCAGAACGAGAACTGGAGGAAGATATCATCGCCATGGGGAACTAAGCGAGAAACTAACAGGCCCTTCAAGAGATGCTGAGGCTGTGCATAGTCCTGCAGATGACAACACAGCATCTACCCACAGGCTACTGCAGTCATCCCTCTCTCCTGCTTTCTGATATATGCGAAATAAATCATAATTGTGTTTAAGATTGTCTGCAGTATTACTTGCAGTACACATTGACATGAGTACTGCATGTTACAAGGGACCATGCAAGCCTGCTGGAACATTTTCCGACTGCAGCTTAGCTAATCAGTCGCACCAGCACCTTGTTACACCATACATAAAGAGGAATCTTGGTTTTATTTTTTGCCTGATTATAATGTCACATTACAGGTGTGTGATAAATGAATGCCTCTTGTGTCGCCTTTTTCTTTTCCCGATCTTTTTGTGTGAATGAAAGGTGCGTCTTATGTTTCCCTTAAAATAATACAGGCTGGAACATGCGCTCTCCATTCCCCATGTTTACACATTGAATGGAACAAAAGCATCAAGCAAAAGTTTTGGTCCCTGGATTTATTTTGCTAGGTGTCTTACTTAGTTTTCCCAGTTATGGGTCATGCCATTCTTTGTCTGAGCCATTTAATTATGATATAATCCAGCAACCAGATGGACCATTAATAGGGAATAGGGAAAAACCCTAACACCAAACAAATAGTGTGATTAATGTATGGCAGCAATCAATGGTATATGTAGGTTAATACTATTTAAATCTTAATTTTTCATCCTCTGCAAACATAAATTTCATTTCGGCTTATCATTTAGCTTTCTATCTCTTGTTTTCACAATAAATGGAACTGATAGAACATTTCAGTTTGTTTGACGTAACTTATGCCTTGAGGTTAGGTTTTAGTTTTTGGAGAAGGCATTAATGATAGGTTCTCATATATGATATCCACCATCTATATTTCTCCCAGATCAAAGAGCATGTGGCACAGATGAAGAAATATCACAACTTGAGATATAATTTTACTAAACATGCAATAGTTCCTACCTCTCTGGATCCTGAAGACACTCTCTTTGATGAGCAGATATATTGCATCTGATGTGAGCACTGGTTCCTTAGAAGAGAGTCCATCAGCTACATGTAGTAAGAGTAAATATAACTCTAGTCTTGTTCCCTTGAACCGATGCATGAGAATGATTCATTTCTGCTTCCAGTAGCATTTGAAAGCAGGCATGACGAGAGTTCGCAAAGTATTTTGTGTTGATTTTCTTCTGCTTCCCTCAGAAATTCCCCTACCTCTTCAAATATGCACCTGCCTCTGGCTGGTCAGCTTCTTGTATTGAATATCACTCACCTGTAAAAGTTAATTGAACTGTGACATCATGTGCTAAAATAACTATTGTGCACTTCGCAGTGAATTTACTGTCACGAAATGCAGTGAATTTACTGTCACGAAATGCAGTGAATTTACTGTCACGAAAAGAACTTAACCCATCCGCCTACCCAGTCATCGAATCGACGGCCCAGCTTACCTGTCTCTAGGCCTACATAATCATCATTTCGATGGTCCTGTGCAGAGTTCTGTTTGATCAATTACAGTTGCAAGTAGTTCAAAGATATTGCCAAAAGATGGCACACAAGGCCTAAGCCTTAATGCCTTAAATTAAATGGTATTTCATGGGTCATGGGTACATACAGGGTGTTAAGAAAGTTGTGTCCCACTGCAATATGCCAATAACCTCAGCAAAAATTTACAAATCAGGAAATTTTTTTAATACACAATAACAAGGACAGTTAACTGATTTAGAATCACTTAATAGTTTTAAATATAGCCGCCATTGGCACGGATGACAAGGTTCAGACCACCCATGAAAGCATTGACTGATTTTCGCCAGACTTCCTGTGGAATTCGTCTTCCAGGATGCTTTTCCGGTAAACATCAGCGTTGATCTTCATCTTCTCAGGCTTGAAAACGAGCGGAGTGCGGTAATCCTGGCCCAGACCATTACAGAAGCTGCCCCTTGATGCTGAGTGGCTTGAAAAAAAAATCAGATTTAGATTTTTCAATATTGGCCATCTTGGAGAGCAGAAAATAAGCTACAAAACGCCATTCTTTGGATTCTCTCAAGCTATCCCTGAACAGAGAATGGGGAGAGAATTCCACAGGAAGACTTGCGAAAATCAGTCCATGCTTTCATGAGTCATCTGAACCTTGTCATTTGCACCAAGGGTGGCTATATTGAAAACTATTAAGTGATTCTAAATCAGTTAACTGTCCTTTTTGTTATCTCAAGCTATCCCTGAACAGAGAATGGGGAGAGAATTCCACAGGAAGACTTGCGAAAATCAGTCCATGCTTTCATGGGTCATCTGAACCTTGTCATTTGCACCAAGGGTGGCTATATTGAAAACTATTAAGTGATTCTAAATCAGTTAACTGTCCTTTTTGTTGTGTATAAAAATTTTTCCTGATTTTCACATTTTTGCTGAGGTTATTGGCATATTGTGATGGGACACAACTTTCTTAACACCCTGTATAGCAAAAAAAGGTACGTGGATGGGTTAAAGAAGAAACTGGTGAGAAAGAAATACTGAATGGAAACAACACTAGACGGCACAACAGCAGCATGAGGTAAAATGGAGTGCAATATTGAGTATATTGTTGCCAATGAGAATGTTTGAGTCAAGTCAGCTGATTCTATCTCCTCAAGGTGAGGGTAGGACATCCATTTGAAGCATTTGGTTAGGTGGTGTTAGAAGTTTTTTACACCTGCATAACTTTGGATATGAGACTTGAAAGATTGTTGCCATCATTCAAAACCTTTTTTTAATTGCTGTTAATTTTCTTTTTCAAGGATGGAGAGTTGCTGTGCAAATGAGTTTTGGTACGCTTAGTTATCGAAATATACATGGTGTTATACATCATAGTAAAGGGAAATGGATGTACATTCCTGTTCTACTTTAAAAAATATTAGTTTTTAGAAGGATAAACTAATTTTACAGTGTGAAAGGATGGTAGGAAGACAGACGAGATGAAAAAGTATTCACACAAACATGACTT